TTTAATTCCTTTTTAAGTTTCCTTAATTATATAATAAAGATATTAATTTATAAGGTATAAGTTTTATATATTATAAGTTAATAAAGTATAATATATATAATTTATTAATTAAAAATAATATTTTATTAATACTTTATAATTTAAATAAATAATAACTTATTAAAGGTTTTATAAAAATTTAATATATTTTAATTAAAATTAATTTAATTAAATTTTATTTAAAAATTATTAATAAGTAAATAAGTTTTTATATTATATTAATTAATATAAATAATAATAATAACTATAATTATTAGCTAAGTTTATATTTATAAATAGTTAAATTTATAAATTATCTTAAAATATTCTTAAAAAAATTAAACTTAATATTTAGCTTTTTAAAATTAAGGTATTTCCTTTAATTATTACTTAATTCCTAGCTACTTTAAATTAAAGGTTTTATAACTTTAATAAGTTATATATAGCAGAATAATAATTATATAAAATTTATTAAGCAATAAATATTATTATAATATTTAATAAATATTATATTTCTTTAAATATAAAGGGTAAAAAGAAATTTATTTATTTAAAAATCACTACTTATAATTAAAATAATTATTAATATTTTTTTATTAATTAAAAATTAAGAAGTAATAATAAGAATATTAAGGGAAATTATATATTAAATTTATATTTTATTTATAATATATTTATTATAAATTTATAATAAAATTAATTTTTTTTTATTAATTTAAAAGGGCTTAAATTAATATATACTTAACTTATTAATTATTAAAAGTTTTATAACTTAATTTATAAATATTTTAATATTATAATAATAATAATTATAATTTACTTAATTCTTTTATAAGATAATTATATAGCTAAGGTATATAATTATAGCTATTATAATAATGGAAATAAAGTTATAAAATTTAATAATCTTTATAAATTTATAATAAATATATAAGGAATTTATATATATATATATATATAATAAATTTATAATAAATTTGTTATAAAAGTATTATAAATATAAGTATTTATAATAAATTTATTATAAATTTATTATAAAAGTATAATAAGTATTAAGATTTATAGTAAATTTATAAGGAATTTACTTAAAATTTATTTTAACTTATTTATATTATATTATATAATATATTAATTAAATTATATAACTTTATTTTTAAGATATTAAAAAAAAAGATTATTATTTTTATAAAGAAATTAATAATTATAAGCTTTTTATATTAAATCTTATTTTTAAAATATAATTAATATCTTATAATAAAACTTTATAATTATAATATATAATAAGCTACTTTTTTAATATTAAGTTAAAATTTATAAGAATTACCTTTTTATATAAATAAGAAATAAAAAGGTTAAACTTAAAATAGCTTTTATTAATAATAATTTCCTTTTTAATTAAAATAATTTAATTAAGCTATAGCTTAAAAAGTTATATAATATAATATAATTATATTTTTTAATAATTTATTTACTTTTAATAATAAAACATTATATAAAGCTTTAATAATACTTTAAGTTTTAATTATATAATTAAATTTTTATATATAAAATATAAGTATTATTAATTATTACTTAATTTTAGCTTTAAATATTATTTATATATAAAGTATATTTAACCTTTTATTAAAGTAAGCCTTATTATAATATTAAAGTTTATATTTATTTTAATAAGTAATAATATAAGTTATTATAATTAAGGTTTATTATTATATTAATTTATAATAAATTAATATTATATATATTAAATAAACTTTTTATATAATAATAACTTTTTATTATAATAATAAGATATTTTAAAATTATCTTTATCTTACTTTATATTAAATTAATATTATTATTTTTATATTTAAACTTAAGATATATTTTATAAATATAAGAATAAATAAAATAATTTATATTTTAACCCTTATTTTTCTTAATTTAAGATAAGTTATATTTAATATTACTTAATTAATTAATAATAACTTTATAATAATTATAACTTTATAAGATATAACTTAAAAAAAGTATAATAAATTATTATTAAATTAACTCTTTTTATTTTTAATTTATAAGAAAATTTATTAATTTAAAATAATATATTCTTTTATAAATATAAAAATAAATAACTTCTTTTTTAAGCTTTATTTTTCTTAATTTAAGGTAAACTAAAAATTATACTTATTAAGTTATTAATAATATTTTTATATTAAATAATATTATAAAATATAACTTAAAAAAGAAATAATAATTAATATTAATATCTTAGCTTCTTATATTTTATATAAGCTTATATAATAAAGTTTTAAATAAAATTTTAAAAATTAAGTTAATAAGTTAATTAATAAAGCATTAAATATTAAAGGTTAATAAATTAATAAAGAGTTAATAAAATAAGAAATAATAAATAAGATAGTTAATAAGAATTATATTTAATTTTTTTAACTTACTTAATTGCTTTAAAATATAAGTTATTCCTTAAGAAAAAGCCCTTTTATTTATATCTTTTGTTAAAATATATAAAATCTTTAAAAGCTTTTATATTATTAATTATTTATTATATATTAATAATTTATTAATTAATAGCTAATTAATAATTACTTAATATTAAATCTTATAAAAGGGGTTTAAAGGGCTAGCTAATAAATTAAGGGGTAGCTAAAAGGGTGCTTAAAAATATATAGTTTTTTTACTTATTATATAAAAGGTTTTAAAAATCTACTTATATAAGCTAATTATATAAGTATATAATATAAGCTTATATATTAATATTAATTATTAGTATTATAAATATATAGGTCTTAGCCTTATAGCCCTTATAATTATAAAGTTATTAAAAAGAAAAGTTTTTCTTTTCTTATATATATAAAGACCTTTTTATTTTATTTTATTTAAAGAGATTTATTTTTAGTTAATATTTATTTATTAATATTATTAGTTATTTTTCTAATATATTATATAAGTAAAATATTACGTAATATTTCTTATATTAAATTTTAAATCTAAATGTAGTGGGTTAAACCCTTGCTTAATCCATTATTCTTTTCCTTTTTTTTCTTCTTTTTTTTCCTCTCCTGCCTTAAATTTAAAAGAATGGCTCTTGTGAGCTTTGAAGAAGCTATCCACACAATATATTTATATGTTATATAAATAATAATATTATTATTATAAGACTTAATAATAATAATATAAATTTAATAATTAATAAAAATATAAGAATATAAAACTAAATTTTTAAGGAGATTTAATAGATTTCCTTAAAAGCAATATATATATAAATAGAGAAAATAAATAAATAACTATAAACCATAAATATATAGATAAAATATTAAAAAGATTTAATATAAAAGAAAAAGTTAAGAAAAAGGAAATAATCCCTTAACTTATATTATATACCTCTAATAGAAAATTAAAAAAATATACTAATTAAGCTAATAAAAATATTATAGAATTATATTAGCAATAAATAGGATTTATATTATATGCTAGCTTAAAAATAAGGCTAAATTTAACCTATTTTATAAACAAGTTAACTAAATATATAGCAAACCTAGGATTAAAGCATATAAAAGAATTAAATAAAATATAAGGATATATATATAAATTCCTATATATATTTAAAGTATATAATTACTTTAGAAATAATTTATAATTAATAAGCTATATAGATTTAAACTAGGGTAATGATATATTTACTAAAAAGAGTACCTTTAGTTATATATTTAGCTTATATGATATTAATAATAATAATAATAAGAAGAAAATAAACCTCATAAGCTGGAATTTTTAACTATAAAAAATATCAGCATTTTCCTTTATAAAAGCAAAATATATGGCTTTAAGAAAAGCCATAAAAAAAGCTAAATATTTATATAATTTACTTAAATATTTTAATAATAATTTAAATATTAGCTTTAATCTTAAGCCCCTTATTATATATATAGATAATAATAGAGCTAAGAAATTAGCTAAAAATACTTTATTTTATAAGAAAACTAAATATATAAATATTGCATATTATTATATAAGAGAAGTAATAGAAAATAATAAAGTAATATTAAAATATATAAATTTTAAGCAAAATTTAGCAAATTGGCTTATAAAATTAATAAATAAATTATACTATAAAGAGTTTAAAGAAAAGTATAGTTTAATAAAAAAATAATATAAAAATATTAAGCTAGAGAATAAAAAGATTTTCTACCTATATTATAATGCGCGTAAAATAAATTAAGGTATTTACTCTTTAATAACTAGGATTAAGATTTTTTCCTTTACTTATAAAATATATAAATAAATAAAGCGAACTTAATTATATATATATATAATATTACCCTAAATACTAAAGGTTTTCCCCTAGAAGAAATAAATAAAATAATAAAGGTTTTTCCTAAAAAATAAGCATTACTTACACAGCCCATACATACCATATATATACACAGTCACAATATACCTATACTATATTTATATACGTTTAATTCTATATAGAAAACGTATTTCCATAGTATATATAGTATAAATAAAATGACATGTAACTTTAATATGTAAAAATGCCATAATATACCATAGCCATTATAAAATAATTAGTAAATTCCATATAAAACCATAATTTAATATGTAATACCCTATTGGCTATAAGTTTAAGTTTAAGTAATAGCAAATTTTTGGGTTTTTTGCCTAAATATATAAACACTTAATAAGTAAGTTTTTCCCTTTTATAAGGTTTTCTTACTATATAACTAAATATTCCTTTTTTATAAACTAAATCCCTTATATATATAAAATAAAATAAATAAAAGGGAATTAGTTTAAAGGGGGCTATTGGAATATTTTAGATATTTAGGCTATTATTAATACGGGATATCCTTTTCCCCATACGTTTGCCACTGTATGGAGGATAATAACTATAAATAGGGGCCTTCCCTCCCGTTGAATAGACGTTAGCTAGCCTAATAGACTAAGCATCCAACGCTATTATTTGACAGTCCAATGGCCCCGGCTACATGGCGCCCAACACCATCAACGAGTCCATCCCTGAGCACGCCCGGTCGGACTCTTCCCAGGCGAACAAGGACCGCGCCGTCCCGCTGTGGGACGACGGCGACATCACGGTCTTCAGGCCGGAGCGCTGGATCAAGACCGACGAGAAGGGAGTGGAAACGTTCAACATCCACGCGGGACCGGTGATGCAGTTTGGTGGTGGGCTCAGAGGCTGCTTTGGGAAGAAGTTGGCCTACCTGGAGATGAAGATTTTCGTTGCCTTGATGGTGTGGAGCTTCGACCTAGAGGTGGTGCCAGAGAAGCTGAGGGGCTTCGAGGCGTTTGACAGCCTGACGCACAAGCCCAAGCAGTGTTATGTGGTACTGAAGGAGGCGGGCAAGTTATGGACAAATTAATTGGGCTTAAGGGACCACTCATTATGTGCTTAATACTGTCTAGGTTCTTTCATGTGTCTTGTTGTAATTATCAAGGCTGCCGTAGGAGAATGACACGAGGTATATGGAATCCCTCAAGAAACATTTGACTATTTGGCTTGGTTAAATACCAACAGCCACTGATAGGATCCTCCTACCCCAATGAATGTCATATGCAGCGATGCGGCAGGAATTCCGCGCAAGACTCTCAAGCCCTATGACTCCGACTTGTGCAAGAATTATGTATACAAACAGCCAGGAAATGTCAGCAACAACGTCATGGAATACACGCTCATTGAGCTGTGGAACCACTGGAAATTGAAGACTGCCTGTTCTATAAGCAGCTGTGGGTGGAAAGGAGCTGCGAGGCTAATCTCGAGGCATTGGCCAGCAAGGCCTGCTGCGGGATCTTTAGAACAAAGAGTGGTAAGGTGGCGGTCTCCACGAAGGCGAGCAGCTTAAAACATGCTGGCCCAGACACATGTAAAGTTATGTAGGGTCCTGTCAAATCCTACTCAGCCTGCCCCAAGTTGCCTGCGCAAGGATCACTGCGTAGAGGTGTCTTACTACAGCCTCTCGCCTGACATATCACAGACAGCTGGGTTATCATTCCACCACAAGACCCAGATATACCAGAGTGACGATTGGCCCAAGAGGGACGACAGAATGGAAGTGAATGGGATGAATGTTTGCCGCAAACGATTCGCCTGTTGGGCTCTGTGGGAAAGGGAATATAGTTTAGCAAGCATCTCAGTCAAGCACATACGACCATAGGTATCAGAAAATTCGGGATCCCGTCCGCTCTCCCATAGACAAGCTGGTGACCGCTGGATTAGTAGTTGGGTCGGTGACGACCAGCGAATACCCGGTGTTGTATGTTTTTGCCCGTTGTTCCGGTTTTTCTTTTTGTGGGGAGGAGGGTGGGTTCCGGGGAAAAGAATGGGGCCCATCCATCCAGGATAAATACACCCCCCAGATACTTCATAACTTAATTTGCTTAGCATTGATATCGTCTCCTTCTTCCTATTAAGCATATATTATAGTCCTTACCGGGTGAACCGACGCCGTCAATCAGGAGGGCATCAACTTTGACAATAGTCTGACCACCCGGCTCCTAGCCCACAGCCTGAAGCCTTCAGGAATGACCTGCCACTAGGACGCACCGCAGGCCCTCTACAAACAATACAGGGCATTTTTCAACATCAACGAGTTACGCATGGACTACGCCCGCTACGCCCGGCTGTGCTTGAACGCTTTGGGGACATTAGAGTCTATTCAACTTTCCAACCCTTGAGGGTAGGGCTCGGACGTAGATGGCAGGGCCTACATAAGACCAACACGTATTCCCAAAGTCATCTCAGGGGATAGAAAAACATAGACAGGCATGTGATGAGGTCTAAGGCCAACTTCGAAATTTTTGCGAACAACCACCAACTGACTTGATGACGGATCGTGTAAAACGCGTGCCTTTGTGAAGGACCAAAGCCAGGAATGTGGCAACTCAAGTAATTCTTCCAGTGCTCCAGGCAAGACCATCCGTATCAGATGAGATGGAACAGAATATGGTTTACATCGCCTCGGCTTGGTTCTGTGCCGCTGCGGTCTGCACACTGTTCGTTACAGAAAATGGATACATTGGGAGATCACGGCTGCCGGTGCATTCGGATGACCACATGTGTTTGACGGCATTCCTGCCTTACTCGGGCCTTCAGATGAAGGTATGTATCTGCTGCGATCTTTCGCCCCTGTCCAGGGGCTCATGCACGAAAAGCCGAAGAGCAAGTCAATGACAATTATTGACGGCGCCACGGATCCCTCGTCACGGCCTGATCGTTTCGATGACGACGAAGAGAACGGCAGCCGGATGATTGACGAGACCGATCGCTGGAGCATGGAGTTGCTGCCCCTGTTTGGTTTCCCACAGCGAAGGTTTGATCTCATTTGAGCAACTCTACGCAGGATGTAGGGAGGTGAGGTAGCCTCCGACTCCATGCACCTTGATGAGAGATAGGTTATGATCAGCTTCTCCCGGGTGGCCGCGATGTGGCTACGGCATCTATATGGTGAAAAATGTAGAGGGATAAATAAGGGGTTTATATAGATATGAACCCACGAACAGGCTGTGGAGAAGCAGTCTATGGCCTTAGCATCCTGATATAGTTTAAGCTGAGTTGATATGTCTTGTTCATGATTTTCTATTCAGCTACTTGCATCTCCATGTATCTCGCCAATCTCATCGGTTCCACTTGCTTTCCACATCAAAGGATGGCGACTTTAAATAACATAGCGGTAACCCTTCTGCAAAGCCCTCGCCTCAGCAACAGTGACACCCTCAACCTGTGCAGTCTTCTCGAGTTTCTTCATATCGCGCTCGGTGAGCTGCGCGTCGGAGTTCTCCATCCTCGCGAGCTGGGCATTCTGCTTCTCGAGAAGGATCTTCAGCGCGACCGCACAGACGGCGGCGAGGACCTGGAGGCCTATGCAGATTCCCAGGGCCGGCCTGTAGTGGGGCGCATCCTTGGTCTTGTATGTGAAAGGCGTCCAGATCGAGGCGGCGTTGCCCACCGAGTTGATGAAGGCCAGGGCGGCGGCGCGCTTCGCGGGCGGGCGAGGGATCGAGGAGGATATCCATGCGTAGATGATTCCGTTCAGGGCGAACACGAAGATCTGCAGGAACAGGGAGAAGTATCGAGCGCCGAAGTTGTCGACCGTCATGAAAACTGTTCGAGGGCCAGTTAGTTCGAGTCAAGGGGAGGAGGAGCGTGGGAAGAACGGGTCAGTCAGTGGGTGAGTGAGTGGTCCGCAACGTACCGATGAAGCCCACAATCGTGATTGGAATTGGGTAGACAAAGAACCAAAACCTCTTGGCTAACTTGTCTGAAATTCGGCAGTGAATGAATGAGTAGATGACCATGAAGATGTACGGCGGGGCGCAGAGTAGCAGGGCGTGGATGCGATCCGAAACGACGGTCTGGGTAAGAGTCGGGAAGTAGTTCTGGATTCCAGCAGCACCTGTCTGGCCGTGGTAGGCCAAGGCGAGGAGGTATGTCTTGGGATCTGTCAATGCCAACTTGATGCCCCGGAGCTGCGACATTCCACCGGCCTCGTCGACGTCGGCCTCGGAGGCTTCAATGGCCAGTCGGCGGGTTGCGACTCGTCTCTCATCCTCGGTCAGCTTTTTCCAGGTATCCGGAAAGTCGGGCAGGATTATGATGACGAGGATTCCGAAGAATATCGTGATGGCACCCTCCATAATGTACAGCCATTGCCAGGCCGAGTATCCGCGTGCTCCTGCTAGGCCGCTCAAGATACCTGCAGCGATCAGGTTTCCAAAAGCACCTGAGATTAGGGAGCCCGAGTAGAAGATGGCCATGCGCAGGGAAAGTTCCTCCTTTGTGTACTGCGATGAATTAGTAATGCATGGCAAAATGGAAGACAACGCAAGAAATGAGTCTCAGTGAGAGAATGGGCGGCCATGACGTGCGGCGGTGTGGATAGGTTCATCTCGTACGTACCCATTTGGAAAGGTAAAACAGGATGCCAGGGAAGAAGGGAGCTTCAACGAAGCCAAGGATGAACCGGGTAGCAATGATCTGCCCCGCGGTCTTGACCTGACTGGTCAGGAGCGACACCAAGCCCCAGACACAGACCTACACAAGACATCGCGGTTAGCGTCTTCCAAGGCTCTCGGCGCAAAAGAAGATTCGGTCAAAAACGCTTGGAGGATTAGTGCGTACGAAGAAGCCAATGTACCAAGACGGGCGCCCGGCATAGTTCAGCATGGCGTTCGAGGGAACCTGCATCAGGACGTAGCCGACGAATAGTGTGGAAAGGCCAATCTGATATTGCTCGTCTGTCATGCTCAGATCCTCTTCGAGACCCTGGAGTCGAGCCGCGGCATAGTTGTTTCTTCTCCCGTCAGCAAGGGCCACGGGGCTCGGTCGGAGATAAAGACAAGGCTGGGCCAGTCGCTCACCGGTCGATGTAGTTCATGAGATAGACCAGGACGCAAAGGGGCATGATCAGGACGTCGATCTTTTTCCTGAGCTTCTTCTCGATGGCAAGCTCTTCTGGCGTGAGCTTGCGCAGGTGGTCGGCCGTCTCGGCGATGGCCTTCTCGTCGAGGATATCATGGTCGTGGACGTGCTCCGACGCGGGGAGGTCCTCTATCTTGTCGCCCATGTTGACACTGCAGGCAATTAAGTCTCTGGGAAGGATTTACAAGAAGCAGACAATGCCAGTGGTAGAAAAAGAAGAAAGAGCGCAAGGGCAACGCAGCGCAAAGAATGGGGGAAGGGAAAAGGACTGTTTTCTAGTCCCCACCCCCCCCCCCCTGACGTCGGGTGAGGGGAGGGACGATCGACCAACATCCGTTCATGTACTGTCATGGCCCCATGCGGTCCTTTCTGGTGTGTCACGGCATGATGTCGGTGGCACAACCTGGCCTTGACAGGGACGGCGCGGCCACGCCTGAGCGAGTGCCAGCCAACTGCCCCCGACGGCCCTCGTCAAATGGCCCCAAGTGTGGGGAACAATGAACCGACGTCCTCGCCCGAAGGTTGGGGAAAGTCTGGGGAAAATCCCACTTTCTTCCCCACGCTTCGTGTTGGGGGTGTCTGGGGTGATGTGAGCCCCACGGGCGTATCATCGTGCGCCTGCCCGCCCGCTCCCACCAGCTTGGCTCAAAATGCCGGTATCTTACCGCCGCCGTTGTTTTGACCCCATCGAATCTCCTCATTCGCTGCCCCGTTGGTTGCCCGCCCCTCTGCCAATGCACCTAGCCCCGGAGATTGCTCGAGTATCCCAGCTTCACCGTTCCTCCCTAGCCCAGAACGAGGTATCCCGTCGGATATCATCTTCTGGGCTTCTGGGCTACCGGGCTTCCGGGCTCTTGGGCTGGCAGGTTAGCAGGCTGGCTCGAGGTTGGCAGGCTGGCAGCGTGCCTGACGACCAGATCTCTTGGCCGTGTCCACTCAAATGGTCGCGTGCCGCAAGGTACACACCGCATGGCTTTGTTTATTACGTGAGGAATTGTTTGATACTCCGATCTGCACGCTTCATGTTAGGAGTCGTCATTAGAGCTCGCCCCATGTGCGCGTCATTCGACGCTGATGCACAACGGTAATACGTGTATTGCGCATCGTTCTCGCAGCACCATTACGCGTGTCATGACTGAAGAATGTGCGCGTAACCTCTTCGCTCAGAAGAGCTCCTCGCCACAGCAGCTTGATTGCTTCCTCAGTCGGATATATGGAATCAGCGAGGATATTGACGAGGGTGGCAGCTAAGCCGACAAGGCCCCGGCCTGCAATGCTCCCCCAAGCATCTGCTAAGACCAGTCCCTGCGTCTAGTGCTACATCGCGGATGAGCGGGATGGAATCGATTGACAACTTTCCACCGGTCTGTAAGTTTGTGAAGGGTTGCTCGCGGGGATGGATGGATTCGTAGTCAGCATCGGACGTTGTCCGGAAGCATTGCACACTTGAGAATCTAGAAGAGGAGAGTGGCCAAACCGTATAAGCGTAAAGATGAACATCCCCCCATCCCATTTAAGCGCCCGAAGTTATCTGCGTATCAAATCGTTTTCCGATGCATCCGTCCCGGGCCCTGAGTTTAGAGCACTCCATGAGCACCATGAACGAGCATATCCGGGCCCGTGCCGGGCACTTCGTTCCGGGTCCAAGAACACAACCTGGATCTGGGCCTCTGCCGTAGTTTAAAACGCAGGTTTCAGCTATTGCAAAGCATTCGCATCACGGGTTGCAAAAAAAGTAATAATAAATACTATATGTCGCTGGTCAAGGAGCCCAAGATATGTGGGTGGCGGTAGGAATTCATGCGTAACTCCAGGGACGGGGAAAGAGAAGACCGGGCAGGCCATCATCAGCACTGAACTAATCAAGGTCTCCCTCAGACCTCCTTCGGTCAATAGCAATACCGTCAGCTTGGCTAATGGGTGTGTGCCTTGACCGAGGCCTAAGCTGGGGACGCAGTAATTCTAGAGCGATCCGGAACTAACATGCACCACATAGTGCAGGGATGTGCCTGTTCGACCCCAGGAATTGGAGAAGTGCTCGTCGCGCTAGATTAATTCAATCGAAACACTGCTTCAGTGAAATATGACTGGTGGTGTGGGGGCTGGTATGTCTTGACTGGCTTGGGCAAGAAGCTTGACCTCGGGAGCCGTCTGAAAGCCGACAACAGAGAGACTATGAATAAACTACACACGTGCAGGTGCAACCTTGGTCACGTAGACATCCGCCACTATCATGAAATTTTTTCTTCTCCCGATTGGCCATGCTGAACTCTGATTGCTATAATTTGGCCGGCGTGGACTTTCTTTCCGAGCCGCCAGGCTTGATGGTGGCAAGAGAAGGCGTCGGCTGCGTTGATATGTTTACCAGGTTTGTGACTTGTGGTCCACAGGGTGCTCACATTGATAATTTTAACGTCCCCGGCCCAGATTCCGGCCCCCCCCCCCTGATTCCGGCCAGCCGTTTTCTGGTGCACTGGCACTATAAGATACCCACTTTTTAACCTTCTATAATAAATCCAAACTAAATCCCAAAACCCTAACCCTAAATCCAAAATAAAGAATTTTAAATATACTTTTATATAAAGATATATTTAAAAATATAAATTTAATTTAATAATTTTAAAATAATTTTTAAAGTTAAATTATTAAAAATATTAAGATTTATATATATAATATAAGGAGTTTTTAATAACTTATATTTCTTAATTTTATACTTAATCTTTTAATAAAATAAATATAATTAAATTTTATTATATATAATAAATTCATTATTATAAAATAATAAAGTTTTCTTTTATATTAAAAATTTTAATAAAAAAATATTAATAAATTTATCTTTTCCATATATAAAAAAATATAAGAAAATATAAATTTATAAAATATATTAATAAATTTATAACTTTTAATATAATATCTTTTAATATTATATAATATATTAGTTTCTTAACTTATATTTTAAAAAATAAAATCCTATTTAATTTTATTAAAGAAATATTTACTTAAAAGTAAATATTAATATTTCCATATAAAATATTAGGAATCCTTAATATTTAAAGCCTTTGATTTTTAAAAAATATTTTAAAAATAATAAAACTATAATAAAGTTTTTAAGTATTTTTATTATAATCTCCTTTTAAAGCAATATTATTTAAGCCTAGGGTTAGGGTTGTTGGATTTAATTTGGATTTACTATATGGGTTTGAAAAGTGTGAGTTTGTGTGGGAAAGGCGGCCGGAATCGGGGGGCGGCCGGAATCCGGGCCGGGGACGTTAGCCTTCCGCGCTCTGTGAACTTCATCAAACAGAAATTCGATATTGTTTAGAGTAAATCCATAGCGAGGTTAGAACCTCAAGGCTTGATATAATATGGGCCGTCCTGTTGTGTAGCCTTGCAGACAACGGCATAAGCAGAACCTGGGCCGCGTCGAAACGAAACATTGTCTGATGATTCAGAGTACGTCTTCATGCAGACCTTAGTATAGGTGTTACATGTCATCCCCTTTCCCCAAGTCTCTCACCCTCAATGCTAATAACTGTGGTTATATTCCGGTAATCAATATGAGGATCCTCTCTCGGGATAACTCTCGATATTTGTTAGGAGTTGAGGACATGGGCAGTTCTTAAACAGACTCCATGTTGCACTTGCGCTAAGCTCAGCTGCCATGGGACTCATTGACGGCAAGGTATAGGGCCAACCTGACATCATGGCTTGATTTCATCTATGGCTCAGGCGAAACCTCCACGTCCAATGGTCCGAGGGTCCCCGTATCATTTCCCTCATATTATTCATGAAAGGACGGATCGAGCTTTCCAGAACCTCTCCCTCCTCAACACACAGTTTTGCAAACCTGACAGCCTCTTCGGCGCTGCCGATGCCGTTGTACTCGAGGGCAGCCCGGTAGTAGGCCTCGACCATCCGGGTGACGAGGCCCTCCGCCTTGAATAGATTGACGAGAAGCTCGGCTTTCTCAGGAGCTGCGGCCGACGATGGCGAGTAATCGTCAAGATCCTTTTGCAGCGTGAGGATTTCCTCGACCCTTTCGTCCGACTCCTTGATGGTCTCCTCGCTGGCTGAGCAATGCGCACATGTGCACTCGAAGCTCCATCCGTGCTTTGAGAGCAGCTGTCGCCGCGAGCGTGTTTGGACAGAGCTGATTCAAGGTGGGTCAGTCAATGACTGTTCAGTTGCACTTTCTGCGTTTTAGAAGATCTTTGAGAACACGCTGGGCACACACGTACTCAAAGTAAGTCACGGTAAGCTCCTCTCCTGTCTCGATTTTGCGGGCTGCAAAGACCGACTGAGACAACGTGGATGCGTCAAAGGTGTACTTGGAATTGGGACGGCAGGCGTGGTTCAGCCGGGAAACTACACAGCCATGTAAGTTGATGTCGAGCAGTCCCCTCAGCCGTGGGGAGTTGATGCGCTCAACAGCGCGACAGGGACTTACCTTCCGGGAAGACAGAATGAAAGTCCATAATTCCTTCAACCGGCGTGATGAAGTCATTCTTCATGAATATCTCATACACCCTTTCGTCATGGGTTTTGACCTCCTCGTGCGTGGTCAGATTGAGATATTCCGCTTGATGGGTCTGAGGCAAGTCGCCGATGGCTTGAGTGAGCAGGTCAGTAAGGCGCGCTCGTCCCAGGCGCTTGAAGGCCGTGTCATCAACCATCACTATCGGCATGCGACTTAAGAGAGCCTCGTTGCTTCTTAGAAGCCTTGTTGCCACGAGACCAACACCCTTTCCTGGGATTTGCTCATCTCGGTAGGCGAGACTGACGGGCTGTTCCGACGCAGGCTGTTTCGGTCCAGGATCAGTGAAGATAGGCAGTGATACCATTTTCTGGAGCAGTTGGGCCGTGGTGACCAAGGCTATGCCATGGCCGGCGTTGAATGAGGGCTGAGTGAAGGCGCAGATCTCGTCTTGGCCGACCTCGTGACAGATGTCACTTCTGTACCACTGATTGTCTTGGACTGGGACGGTCTCATTGTCGATGGGATTGGATGTACCAATAGGACATGTGGTCGGTAATGGCCAGGTGCCAACTGGCAGGACGGGGCAGACAGGTCGCACTTGTGTCTCTTGAGAGGCTGAGCCCAAGGCTGTTGCGTGCAGCCCGGTAAAAGCCGCGCCAAGGGGCTTCAAGTACTTCATCTCGGAGTAGCTTGAAAGTATCGATGAGCTTCGTGACCAGGATGATACCTTGACAAAAATTTGCAATAGAACTGCGAAGCTGGACAGCTCCGGAAAGTGGAAGTCGGTGCTGACAGGACAGGAGGTCCGTGACGATCCTGTTTCAGCTGTAGCTGCACAGTGCGCGAATTCCAAGCCTGAAGACCGGCTGGTCCAGCAACACTGCAAACTCTAAGATCGGCCACTTTGACTGCATTAAATCAATCCTTACTCAGATGCCAATCGATTTCAAAGGACTTTGCGGAGGGGATTTGATGTGGTGAACGTAGTCTGAGGATTTCGGAATCATCAACCCCCAGAGAGAAGGACGCTCGGTAGTAGTCTGGCCAATCGCAGAAGAGAATGAATCCTGAATTGTGTTGGAGATTCTTGAAATGATCCGAGCCTTGAGAATCGGCGGCTAAAATAAAGTCCGTAGTTCTTTACTTCATACTTCGAGCCAGGTACACAGCTTCCTCTCACCAAAGAAAGACCATGCCAAGTAAAGAATGCTGAGATACATGAAAAAAGAAAAGAAAAGTGTGCACGCAGATTCCAGTCTTCCGTGGAAGTACATGCCCTGAAGCAACCCGAGTGGGCTCTGTCTGGGTAGAGAAGGGCAGTCAATGACTGTTGTGTGTTCTTCGCAAGATACGCAGATGTAGATATTCAGTTGGTGTGTATTTCTTAGACGACGCGGTCGACCCAATTATTACTTTGCATCAGCAGCATCGGTAAAGGACAATTATAAATACAGCAAAGAATTTCATGCCAGGCACTCGTATGTTCTAATCACTTATCCCGCCGGAAGCTCGTACACCGGTGTACTGCCCTCCGCCTCGTGCACGCGATGACGCGGCCGGCCATCTGCCTCATAGACGGGTGCGTCCCCTTCAGCCTCGAACCTGGGTGTCCCAGCCGCTTCGTGCATATGCATATTTCCCTCGGCCTTGAATCTCTGCGCCCCATCCGCTTCAGACAAGGGAGTGCTTCCTTCCGCCTCGTATTTCTCCCTGCCTCCTGCCCCCGAAAGAGGCGTGGCACTCATCGCCTCATGCCTCGAGTTTGGTGTCGCCATCTCCGCCCTTGCCTTCCCATCAGATAACTCGGGGACGTTGGCAGCACTTCCGATCAGTTCGCCTCCGTAATGCGGTGGTGGCGCGTCCTCGGCACTCTGTTCGGCAGGCTCTGCATCTGGCCACTCGCGACGCTGGTTGCGGCGTCGTCGGAACCACCAAAAAAGAACCCCAGCCAGGATTGATAGCGCGCCCACAGCGCCCACCACTATTCCGGCGATCGCGCCCCCGCTAAGTCCATCTTCAGCGACCTGAGAACCTAATCCCGTCGTAGAATTCCCGCCTGCCGTCGAGTTTGTGTCGTCTGTCGAGAGGATTGCCACTAGGTCGGAGGAAGGCATTGGGTTTGAAAATTTGGCTTGGGATATGTTGAAGATGCCCCGTTCACTGTCCACCGTCAAGTATGTCTCCTGGAGGAACACTCGACCGATCGTGTACTGCGAGTCATTCGCGGCCCTCCTGATGGGGAAATACCGCGTAGCATTTGGAAACACAGGGTACTGCCCTTCGAGATCGAAGGCGGCATATGGAAACTCGAATCTGGTGATAGTGCCACCACTTGTGCTAGCGCCGAGCGTGAAGGTGAGCCTGGGCTCGAGCCTCTGTAGTTCTGTGTGATGTTCGTCATCGACCAGATATCGGCCCGTCTCTTCAACGTAGCGAAGTCCGAATGTCTCCTCGAAGACGTCGCACCACGCTTCAGGCAGCCACATGTCTGGAACGGTCGAGTCAATGACAGCAAGTATTCCGCCGTTAACACCTGAGAAAGCGATCGTCCCGTTGGGGGTATTAGTCCCAATCGCTGACTGCAGTCCAACAACTAACGGACGTTCTGAATCGGACCCGAATGGAAACGAGATCGATGTGTCGGTAAATCGAGACGAGTCATAACCGCCGAGTGTCAAGCTGCCAACAACCTTGGAGTATCCTTTTCCTAATCAGCACATATGTTTCAAAGAACATGCCGACTGGCCCAGCATAGTGTAGAGAACTTACTATAAGGTGCTCCGGCCGTATAGCCGTACGATAGACTCGGTATTTTTTCCGAATCTTTCAGTGTCCGCAACAAGGATGTTGGTTGCTCGTCATCAGAAAAGTTGGTATAGTTCGCCCCAAGTCCGAGAAGTCCAAGCCAGTAGTTCGGCGTAGCAATACCCCCGACAACTTGGTTTTCTGTGGCGTTGCCTGATGCGCCCAGGCCAACGGAATCATAGCCGAACAACCCATTCCCGTCTATGCCCAGGTGCTCCTCGATGAAAAGCGTGTAAATACCGATGTCCTTCCACGTAGACGACTGATCTGTCTGGAAGCCATCGCTGACCTGGTTCTCGAACGGCCAGACTCCTCGGCTGTCTCCGCAATTACTGAGATTCCCAACCCGAGTGCTCGCACATCCTTCCGGTATTGGCACCCAGGTCTGCTGGTTCGCTGTGGATGGCAGAACACTGAAGTATTGTGCAGGAGTCCCTACACTGATGATGAATCTGCGAGGATTAGCGAAAGTGGGCCCGGCGGAGGCGGTGAACTCACGTCGACCAGCTTCCATCCACGCCGGCCCAGACCTCTGTTGGGTCAACAGAAAGAGGTTCTGCCATGCGTCCGACTGTGATGGCAATCCATACGTTGTGAAACGAATGTGATATTGAGATGTTCAAAGCAGGCACAACTTCTGGTTTCCAGAGAAAGATCCCACGGACGACCGGGTCAGTGGCGGCAGCCCATGCACGCGGGCAGCCCCCTCGAATATCGATGAAATTGGACCACTTCTGCGGCCGAACACAAGCCTAGGCAGCGCGTAAGAAATAATTCTCCGGTTCGCAGCGCGATTCTTTTCTAGGTGAATGGAACACAGCCTCAAATCTCAGGCGGATCGTTCCGTACTGGCCATTGGCCACAGTCGTTTCTGCAGTCAGCAAAGGTCCATAGAAGGATTCGTACTATGGCCTTGGCGACAACGTCCGGGCAGTCCAGGCTGGCCCACAAGCGTAAACATGAGCCCACTTGCGTGATATTCTTGGCATCGTTGATCAAAGGCTTTCTAGGTAGCAGGATAGATCTTATAATATCGGCTTCCCTGCGCGTACCTGCAGAAAGGAATGGCGATCTTGTGGTAGAGATTCCCGAACCTGAATTTCATCAAGTGCTTGCAGAATGGTTGCAGTTCTTCGTCAGATCTGGCCATTGGCCTGGGCAGCATGCGTTGCCTGTGCCCATCAGCAAGTTCGAGCCTTGAACTCGACCTCGACCTCGGCCACAACCACCACTTCCCCTTCCCCGATCACCACGGCACCGGGCGTACCGGTCTGTGGGCTGGCAGCCAACATGGCGATGGTGTTAGATTGGAATAAGACAAACGCAGAGACAATAACCCACACAATCGTCCCTCATGTCACCACATATCCTAATGGCAGTGCTGTAACAAGCCTGGAAACTATCACGGCCAGCGCGCCAGAGGTGACGGATTTCGTCCGCAACACCGCGGTGATAAACGGGTGGTTCACGATGTAAGTCATATGTGCTTCGTCATTAGGCTACACATAAGATGGCTAAATACTCACCCATTTACAGGACTTATCCTGAGACCTGGATTCAGTACATAGATTTCTGGTCGGCAAACTGCACAGAGCGCGACCTCTCTACCACCAACTACAGACCCTGCCAAGTTCTTCTACACGGCACACGGCTCAGACTGGGCCTCTGGCCATAGCCCAGCAACCGTGACACCGGCGATGGTAAAGTACCTGGCGGGGCTCGAGACTGTTGTTGAGCAGATGTCAGGCCAAGACATCCGGACTTGCACCTTCGCGACTTGTGCTCAGACAGCTGTCGGCCACTCGATGGTGTCCGCTTCCGTTCTGATACAGGCAACAGAGACTGCGGAAGCCGTGCACTATACAGCCCCAGCTCCGGTGACGACTGAGCGCGGCACGGCAGAGGCTCCCTCGTGAGTGTTGAATCCCGTCTTGATTGATGACAGGCTTGGTATTGACGGATGACGCTACAGGCCGCCCGAAACGACACCATTGCCCTCTTCAACGCAGCAACTGCCTAGCCCTGCTCCAACATCAGAGTCAAATCCTGACGAGCCGCCATCATCCGAGCAGCCTGCTCCTTCTCAGGAGCCACCAGCTTCTGAAGAGCCTGCTCAACCCTCGGGTCAAACGCCACCCTCGGAGCAGTCACCCAGTCCTGAGCAGCCGGCTCAGTCTTCCGTTCAAGCACTACCCTATGAGCAGTCTCCCGCCCCGGAACAGCCCAACAACCCAGTATCGTCTGTGGAGGTCACCATCATCTCGACGGAGGTGTCCAACGGTGTGACTGCTATCACGACGCTGGTAGGCCCCGGCAGCAATGGCGCCCCGGTTGCTCCGGCCGAGACGACGTTTGTCCGCACGGTGACACCGGATGGGCAGACGCTAGTCCAGACCGTGATCTCTCCGGTTGCCACCGCCTCCCCGGGCGAGGTGACGTTGGTGCAAACAGCCAACGACAACGGCCAGCCCGTCGTTCAGACACTGGTCTCGATCCTTCCTGCTCCTGACGTCCAAGCATCAGAGGTGACCCTCGTCAAGACGGCCACGTCAGACGGGAGCACGGTCCTGGAGACGGTGGTTTCGATCTCGCAAGCCGCGGTTGGTGACTCCCCGGCTTCGGAGGTGACTCTGGTCAGGACAGCCACGTCTGGCGGAAGGACGGTGTATGAGACGCTCGTCTCGATCGCACCGGCGTCGGGAGGAGGCAACCAGGCGTCGCAGGCGCCGGATGCACCACAGGTGACATTCGTGAGGACGGTGACGTCCAACGGGCAGACACAAGTACAGACGGTTGTGTCTGCGGCGCCGTCGGGAGGTGCGCAAGCACAGACGACGTTCACCAGGACGGTGGTGTCAGACGGGCAGACGTACTCGCAGACAGTCGTGTCTCCTCTTGCCAGCGGGACAGCCGCAGGGTCGTCTGACGTGGGCAGCAGCGGCCCGACAAGCCCGTCTTCTACTACGGAGCCGGTTGTAACGGCCGGTGCTCCCGGGAGGTTCGCGCCAGTGGGCGTAGTTGGTGGAATGATGGCGCTCGGTGTGGCGATGCTGGGTGGACTGTAGAAGTACAAGTAATGTGCCCTGTATGATGGACGAGTATGACAAATATTGTGTGGCGTGGCATGGCGTATTTGCCCAGCATAGAGGTAGACTAATGAGCCATGATGAGGATAAATGATGATACCCTTTACCACTCACTCGGGCTGCAATCTGATATGTTCTGACTTTCGGCTTGCGGATGTTGCTCGCAGCCTCGCGGCGTGTGAGAGTATTGCACAAGCTAAGTCAGGGTCTGCACATTCGGCCCACCCCCTGATTCGGCCCACCAAAACGGTCCTCCTCGCCATACCACCCCTTTAATTAAAGTCACTTTAAATCATCATCACCACCCATAACGATGCATTCCTCTGCATTTATAATATCTTTAAAAGCGTTTATTTTTACTAAGTTATCCTTAATTACGCTAATATTAATTTATGCCCTATATATATACTTAATTTTAATAAATATAAAGTTTAAGCTTATTTTAACCTTTCTTTTTTTTTAAGGTATTATAACCGCTAATTTATCTTTAAGGACTTAATTTTCTTGCAAAAGCATTATTAATTGCTAATCTTTCTTATTATATTTTTTTAAATCTTTTTAAAAAATAGTTATTAAGTTATAATTAAGTATTTTTATAAGTTATAATTAATAAAAGCAACTTGCATTTCTTAAAATATTTTAAAGGTTAAAAAACCCTTTTTTTATAATATAATAAATATTAAAGTAATTAATTTAAATCTTTTAATTCTTATAACATTATTAAAAATAAGTATAAATATTATTTTATTAAAGTTTTTAAGCATTATTGGCGGGTGCAGGGAATTACATAAGAAATGGTACCGCGTTAAATTCCAGCTAATTATAAAAAGCTAGCTTTTACGCTTATTTTAAATATTCTTTTAAGAAATCAACTTTTTTCTTTTCTTATATATTTAATGCTTTAATTAAGCTTTTCTTATTTTTAAGAATTTCTAAAATATTTATCTTTTCCCTTTTTTTAATTTTCTTTTATTCTTATCTTTCCTCTTTATTATATTAAAGCTCCTTCTTAAATTATCCTTAAAAGAGTTTAGCAAAACCTATCCCTTATTATTTAAGTAGCTTATTTTTACTAATAATTTAGCTTAAATATAATTTTAATTTTATATATCTTTAATTAATAATAAGAAAAATAGGAAATTAATTATAAATTAATTATTTATTAATTTTATTTCTTCTTATTTTTATATTAAACATTGCTAAATTATTTTATATATTAATTTAAAGCTTTAATTAAAGCTTGCATTTATTTTTAACTTATTATAAAGAAGAGTTAAATATAATTAAACTTATAATAATATTATAAGTACCTTAGGATTATTTTTTAATCTTAAGGTACTTTTTATACTTTTAATATTTAAATAAAATATTACCTTAATTATATATTAATATATTATTAAGCTTTAAACTTATTTTAAGTTTTTTATTAAAAATTATACTTAAAATATAATAATAATTTAAACTTAAGATTAAAATAATAAATTTAAACTTTATAAATATTACTTAATATTAATTAAAGATACTTTAAACTTTTAATTAATATTTATTATTATTATTATAACCTTAAGTTTAAAATAAAAAAAGCTATAATATAAAATTAAAATACTTACTTTACTTACTTATAAGTTTAATAAATAACATTATATTATATATTTTTATATTAATTAAATTATATAAAAAACTTAAACTTAAAATATAATCCTATTTAAGCTTTAATTAAATTTAAATATAATTTATTAAGAATTTAATATAATATTAATAAGCAAGGCATTAAATATAAATTTAAAGGGCTTTCTTTATTATAACTTTATAATTTTTATTTTTTAATAAAATATCCTTTTATTAAATTTATTTTATTTATTATATTTATTAATATCTTTATTCTTTAAACTTTAATTTAAGTATTTTATAATAATATTAAAAATAAATTCCTTAAAAGTAATTATTTTAATTAAAAATATTATTATTTTTAAGTTTCTTTATTTTGCTATTATTTTAATAAAAATCATTATAATATATATATTATATTTTTAAGCTTAAGTTTTTTTAAACCTACTTTTACTTTAAAAGTACTTTTAAATCTTAAAAATTATTTATTTTCTTTTATTTAAAACTAAGAAAAGAATCTTAAGAAACTTATTAAGAAAAAAAAAAGATTTAATTTTACTTATTATTAATTAAAGTATTAACCTTATTTTAATTAAACCTTATAATTTATTATTAATAATAAATTAAGAATTTAAATTAATATTTTAAAAGTTTTACTTTTTATTAATATAATAATTTTATTATAAATAGCTTTATTTATAATTTATAATTTAAATACCTTAAAGTTAAATAAAATTAATATTATTAAGGTTTTAAATAATTTTAAGATTATTACTTATTAATTTTCTTACTTAAATAATTAAATTTTAAAATTACTTAAGTAATATTATATTATTTTAAATTTAATAAAAGTAATTAAAAGCATTATTATTAAATAGTTTATTTAAAAAAATTAAAAAAAAAGCTTCTTACCTTTTATAAGTTTAATAATTAAACTTATTATATAAACTTAATTATAATTATTAAAAATATTATTTATAATAACTCTTATAATAACTTAAAAATATAAAAAAAGAAAATTATAAAATATAATTAAAAACTTAATAATATAAATAATATTTCTTTTATTATAACTTAGCTTTTTTATAAAGCATTTTTATTATATTTAAAAAAATAGCTAATAAAAAAAAGAATTATTTATAAGTTAATAAAAAATATTCTTTAGTTAAACTTTAAGTATGCCTTATTAAAAATTATTAATTAAGAATTTAAATATTTTAAGTAAAATAAATATTTATTTATATAAAATAATTTTAATTAAAATTTACTTAATTTAAAAAGGCTAAATTTCTTTTAAAAAAGCTAAAATAATTTTAATTCTTTAAATTACCTTTAAAATAAAAACTTATAAATTTAATAATTTTTATTTAAATTTAATTATATTAATATTATTAAAAAATATAATTAAGATTTATAAAATATAAATAAATTTATTAAAAAGTTTATAAAGTTAAAATTTAATTTAATTAAATTTAAAAATAAATTTAAATTATTTTAATAAAATATTAAAGCTTTCTTTTATAATAAATAATAAAGTAATTTTAAAATAATTAAGCTAAAAGCTATAAATTTTATTTAATAGCTTTTAATAAAACTTAATTAAAATAACTTTAATAATAATAAGGTATAAATTATAATTTTAATACTTTTTTTTAAAAAAAATAAGTTACTTAAAATTTATTATAATTATACTTTTTAAGATTATAATATATATTAATATAATAAATTTAAGTAACTTTCTTTAAATAGCTTATTAATAGCTTTTAAGCTAAAAAGATTATTAATATTTCTTAGCTTATTTAAAAATACTTAAATTAACTTTTTAAAGTATTTAAACTTTATTTATATTTAATTATATTATAATTAAAATAGTTATAATTTAAAAAAATATATTTATAATTAATTAAAGTTTTTATTTAAAAAAAAAGATTTAATTTACTTTATATAATTAAATATTATAAGCTTATTAAGATAAATTCTTTATTTAAAGGAAAGACCTTATTAAAAGCCTTAAAAGTAATTTAAAAGCTTAATAATTAAAAGAAAGTTAGCTTAATTTTAATACTTATAAATCTTATAAATTATATAATTTATATTAAAAAAAAACTTATAATTATAAATAATAATAAGCTTTTTTAAATAAATATTATTATAATTAAGAAAAAGCATATAGTTAAAAATATTAAAAATTAAAATAAAGTTATAAAAATTATAAAGGCTAATTATACTTAACTTAAAAACTTTAAAAAGGTAGAAAATAATTAATCTTAAATTATTAATAATAAGTTATAATTAAAAAATAAAAAGAAAATAAAGAAAAGGAAAAACTTATTTATTAATTAAGATTAAACTTAAAAAAAAATATTAAGTTTTTTATAATAAAAGTAAGCTTAATAAATATAATAAACTTAAAATTAAAAAAGCATATTTAATAATTTTTATTATTTAAGAAAAAGGTAGCTTAAGTAATTTTAGCTATAATTATTAAAATAAATATTATAAATATCTTAATGCTTAATAATATTAATTTAATTTTAATTAAGCATTTATTAATAATATAATTTAAGGTATATATTTTATTAAAGGTACTTTTTAAATTAATATATTTTAAGAATTATATTAAAGATTTATCTTTTAAAGTTAATATAATTACTTTTTTAAAAAATAATATTAAAATTAATATTTTAATTAATTTATTATAAATTATTTAATATTAAATTAACTTTATTATTATATTTATTATAAATATAATTAATTAAAAATATTTTAATTTAATTTACTTAATAATTTATATAAAGGTAAATAATTATTTTTTATAACTTGCTTTTTTAAATATTAAAGTTAAAATAAATTTCTTACCCTTATTATATTATAAATATAATAAATTTTTATATACTTTACTTAATAATATAAACTTAATAATATATAATAAAGATTTTTTATTTTTAATTAAAGTTATAAAAAAGTAAATTTACATTAATTTAAATAAAATTAAAGCTATATTTTTTATTATTAATAATAAAGCTTTTAATACTTTATATTATATTTTTTTAAAAATACTTTTTTTTTAAATATAAACTTAATATTTAAATAATTAAAGGGATATTTTTATACTTATCTTATTCTTAGCAATATTAAAGTAATATATAATTTAAAATAAAAGAATTAAAAGCTCTTTAAAATAACTCCTTTTAAGGAAACTTAAATTTCTTAAAAGTACTTATTAGCTTTTAAAAGCATTTCTTTACTTTTTTTAAGCCTTAATTAAAGCTTAATATTAATTAATATATTAATAATATTAATTTATTTTAATATTAAGATAAAAAAAAATAAAAAGGTTTTAAGCATTTTTTTAAATAAAAATATAAAAA